TTTTTATTCTTTTTATTATAAGTTTAGACAAAGTTTTGAATAGGGATGGCAAGGTATAGGACGGGTTGGCCATTCCCACCCCCGTCCCTCCGGGTTTTTTTTGTTACATTACCACATCCTCATACCCGATTAAAGCGGGACGGGGCGGGTTCAGGGAGGGACAGGGCAAGTCTTCTGCCCCATTTATTGCCCCATTTATTTTTTATTTATTTTATTTTTAACTTTTAACTTTTTTATGTTTTTGGTAAGTAAAAATTATTACTTTTTTTACCTATTTATTAAAAGCAGCTTATGTTCTCTTAAAAAATGATGATAAATCTATTATTTTTGTTTGATAAAAAACTTAAATTTGAAATTAATTTTAAACGGGGTGGGTAGTGGGGGGACTATGTTTCTCGTACCCGTACCCGCCCCGTTTACCCCGGTTAGGTGGATAATCTTCGCCCCATTCGGGGCGGGACCCCACAAATATCGGGTTAAACGAGTTCTTTTGTCATCCCTAGTTTTGAAGAACACGTTGAGAATACTCATGCAAAATTTGGCATGCGAATTCATATTTTTATTAAAGTAATATAACGATTGAATTTAAATATGATGGAGACCGTTCAATGTACCAAGTTATATATCAAATATATTGACAAATAATTTGAACTCTTAAATTAAGCTAATCTAATTATCTAAATCTGTCAAAAAAAATATTTGGTATGATTATGAGGTATATCCACAATATATATTTACTAGAATTTTCTCCTGCTAACAGTTGTACAGTCTTCAATCATTTACTCCATATTTGTAGGGAAATCAATTGTCCATAAATATGACTGACTGTCTCCACGTCCATTATAAGTTCATGTTTCGAATTAGACTCTTGTTCTTTCCATTTCATAGCATTAATTACCGATTTGTTTGCATAATATAGAAATAGTTAAATACTGTGATGAGCAACCATGAATATGCTTTCTCGTCTCTTTCAATTTGACATGAAGAAGCATGTTTCATAAGCATTCGGACTCGACAATATCCTAAAATTTCAACTACTTAATTTCTCTTATTAAAAACCATTAAGTACTTTTCAGTACTATATACTAAACATGTTCGTGCTGTTTTAGTATAAATACACCAACAAATAAAAAGGATAGACCATAGTGCAGGAATTAGTCTAGGGGTTAATATTATTGTAATGGAGCGATATTTTGCATTATAAAAATCATGCATACGATTGACTAATTTTTGTAAATAGACGAGATATACGAGGCTGTTAGCATCTAGGATCAGAAACTTGAGCTATTTGACAAATAAGAATTTATTATCTTGATCTTCCACGTCTCAAGACTTTTAGCTTGAATAAAATTTTGCGAGAAACAANCGAGAAACAAATGACCAACTAAAACGTAGTTAGAAGGAATAATAAGCATAATTCCAAGTACTCATGCTTCGTCTGTGATAACTAAAGTACTTGACTACCATTTTTTTTCAATTACTATAAATTAGTCATGTTTTAATACATTCTTTGTTTTGGCTTAGATTGATGGTGGTAATGATTGTGGCTGTGTTACATTAGAGAGGAAATGAACGTATGAATCACAGCCAGAAAAGATGCAATATAGAATCATTATTTTATCCCACAAGCTGTAATAAAAAACTTATCCCAAACAATTTGATGTAAAAAATTGCTTGATATGTATCTAACTAGTCTTTAAAGAAATCAATATGGATGGCAAAATTCTTTTCAACTCCGCTTATTAAAATAAAAGTTAAACAAAAATTAGACAACAGATTGATAGTTTACACTTACATTTAAAATGTTGAATTCGAAATAATACTAGTGTACATGATGTCACAAATGCAAAGAGTCGTATACGTCTATTAATAGTTCACGAAACAGAATTCATAACTCAGTAACATAATTATCAAAATAATGGGATCCATAAATATAAGTCATAAAATGAACCCAGACTATAAAATTTCTGGGGCAGGAACGTCTGAATTTCTTGGAAATTCCTTTGGCAGAGTAAATAAGGGCTCATTTTCTGAGAACCCTTTTAATGCCAAAGCCAATGAATGACCTAATGCACGCGCAACTGGCACAGCAACTGCATTCCCAACTTGAATGTATCTAATGTATACATATTTAAGAGACAATAAAAAGGTCAGTCAACAGCCAATAAAGTTTTGGAATTTTTTAGCATTAACTTTCAATTTCTGTTGCACTTGAATCCCAATAGAGATCCAGTCCCAGGAAATCCAATAAGAATGTGAGGGGATATAGTCAACAAGTTACCTTTCTTTTATAGGGCCAACAAGTTTATAATAATCTGGAAAGCCCTGGAGGCGGGCATTTTCACGAATAGTAAGAACTCTATCTTGAGTTGGATGTAATATAATCTGAGAAGTGCAGAGGAATAAGATTACAATATTACAAAACATCTAATTTATTAATAGTTGTACAACATGCATTAACTTTGCAGCACAACTATAAAATTACCTGGTTATGAGGTTCTGCCCGTGTTACAACAGTCGGAACAGTCTCGTCCCACCAAAGCCGACCAAATGGCCTACAAGAATTCACACAATTATTTAACAGTGATCAACTGAAAACCAACATTATTAGTCTCAAATGCAAAAGTTGATTTACTTGATTGAACTACCACCCATGAAACTCATTGCATAATCAGGAACCTGTCAATTTCAAGACCAAATCAGTTTATGAATGGATAAAGAATCTATAAAATGCTGATGCATAACTTTTCATCACAGCGAGCACGAGGAAATATTGGGAGTGTGAGAATTTAAAAGAACATAAAAACTGCAGTCTGATAGAACTGCAGAACAAGTCCTCATACCAAAGGCTTCCCTGAAGCCAACTTTACTCTTTCTACATCTGGATCCCATTCGACTTTGTTGTCTGGACGAACTCGTACCCCGGGCAGATTCCTAAAATTTGCACCCTATCACCATGAAAGAGAAGAGCTTAGCAAATCGAGGCAAAGGAAATTACACTCTTAGTATAAATAAATTTAAGTTGCAGAAAATTTAAGGATACCTTCTTCTTTGGAATTTGACATACACGCTGATAATCATCTACATTTAATTGCAAGGGTTGGTGATCATATAATTCATGTGGTGAGAATTCCAAGTTGAACTTCAAGCAGCCTGGCATCTCTGCATTATGATGGAAAAGAACTTCAACTTTTACTGAACTCAAAATTCAACTAAACCTTGGATATCAATTTAATTAACAAAGCATAAAAGCATAAGATAGTACATAGGAGTTCCATTAGAAGAGTAAACTCATAACACTAGAGTAACCCCAACTCTTGTATGAGTCCTACATGCCAACACAAAACACAAGTAGTTAAAGGCAAAGCCTATCGATCAAGTAAGATTGAGATCATAGGAACCAAATCCAAAAATGGGAAGACCTAAGGCACCAGAATCAGAGAGTAGACTGACATTTTGAAAAATCTCATTTTTTCTCATCCTAGTGCTAGAAATTTGTTCTTATCACCTTGCTGCCTAATGTAAGCGCCGAAGGTACATTGCCAACCACGAAGACCCCAATCGTGCTTCTGGTTTCCATGCCCATCATCATATTGATGATAAATCTCGTTGTGCTCTTCCATAAGAACTTGGAGTCCATATCATGGCGAAGATAAGGTAAGGTTGTGATTCTTGCTCAAAAAAGGGCCGGACGCATTAGAGTTATTGGCTCGTCCAACCTCGATAGCATTCATGAGTCGCTCGTTCAACTATCCGTTGGAGACAGGGTCAAGAAATACCATGTACCCTTTGTCCTTTCTTTCTATCAATCCTATCCAGCAAGAGACGGCTCTAGCCTAAATAGGTAAGTGCCTAGCGCGAACCTTTTTTTATTTGCCACCTGAACACCTCTTTCTTACTCTTGTTGAGTTTGTTGGTCTAAAGTAGGAACCGGTTAGGAGTTGGAAATACTCAATAAAGGATCTCGCTGCCAGAAAAGGGTTTCAAAAATACTCAAAAAAGGATCCCGAGAAAGGGCTACGAAAATACTCAAAAAAAGGGACAATATGAACTTGTGTCCTAATTTAGAGATCCATTTTATCTGGATAAGTCCAATCTAAAATCAAAAATGACAAAATCTACATCCCCAAATTTAAAAATAATATCTACTAATGCATTATTTTTTTTTCAAAATATTATTTGTGTTTACGTCATCATAATTAAGTAGCATAAATTTAGATGAGTGCACAAGGGTATGTGCATCCATTGTTTACAAAAAACTATTATGTGTGTAAGCCTAGTTCCATTTCGCATGAGGCTTCCATTAAAAGCTTATGCAATAAGTAGCATTTGTGATGCCTAATCCTCCTCATGATATGTTTGGCAAAGCTTAGGGTCTATTCTCTCTACCATTTTCAAATCGTTTTCTGTTTTTGATTTTCCAAAACAATGAAAACGCGTTCTCTTTCCTATTTTCAAAAACGTATTTTTGGAAACAAGTTAAAAATTTACAAAGAAACCCCAAAACGATAAATTTGTCGTTTTGGGTGTTTTCAGTTATAATCAAGCCAAAATTTTCAAACCGCGTTTTGGGTGTTTCAAAACAATTTTTCACAATGCCAAAAAAGGACACACTTTCAACAATTTCAAAATGAACACTCAAAACACAACCCAAAATGAATTTAAAACTCAAAACACAAAACTGAAATACAAAAAGAACAGCCCCTTAACTTTTTATTAAGCAGGTCAACCATACTTTTTATCCACACATTCGTAGAACCCACAGGTAATAAGCACTTAAAATCTTTACCAAACAAACTCAGGAAAGTGTTAAGGATTCTTTTGCCTTCTTTCCTTTTTCTGCCTTTTAACTTAAGGAAAAGGGAAAAGAGAGAATAAGAAACAGATGATGACAGGGAAATTAAATATCTTGACAATTCCCTTAAAGATCAAATGATTAGTGATGATATAGAAGATTTGAGGATTGTATCTAATTTACATATTAGATAGCAATTTTCATGGTAGAAGCATTATGTGTGCATGTAACAAACAAAATTAGTTGTTAGAAGAAACTATCAGCTCACCATCCTTCCTTAATCTAATGAAACGCTGAAATTCAGTTTTAGGCTCTGAACCATAAGGCATTATATCATGTTGCTCATCGTTGTCCACCTGCAAAATAGGTAAAGAGAAGAAAAGTTTGTAAAGTGATATAAACAAATTAATGACTGGTCGAAATATGAATTCCACATACCGGAGGGAGATCGGAAATGGCATCTCCAAGAAAAAGTTTCTTTTCGAGTTCAACATTATTGCTTCCGTCGTACGCAACCACATTCATCTGCATTCATTAGCAATTGTTTACAACAACATTCCCACAAGGGAAAAGAACAGGCATGGTTTACCTCAAATTCTGTTGGACTGCCACCCCTGGTAACAACATCATGTGTAGGTAATGGGTACATGGGCAACTTCTGTTTTGTAAAGATTAGAAATCAGAAAGAGACAGCCCAAGGAAAAACAGATGTCAACTACAATTGAAGGCTAAAATCATTAACGATAGAAGCTAAAGTTGTTAGAGAATGAACATGTTTTTTTTAAATAAATTTAACCTTCAATAAGCTTCTTGACATTCAAGCTTGATTCATTTTTTTCTATTTTGTGGTCTAACACGTTCATAATTTTCTTAAATTGAAATCGACTATACTTGATCTCAAGACTTTCGTCTGCTTTGATACAGTGTTGAGCAACCTCATCTAAAAACATTGTTTAAAAAATTAAGCAAAATCATGATTTTAAGATATAATGATCATTAATTAGATCAAAAAGGATTTTCTTAAAAAGTCAGGCTTAATTTATATATTATTTATTTTAATATTTTTAAAATTATACTATCGAATCCCTTGAGCGCTTCGGTGGCAACGATAGTAATATAGGTTTAGTAAGTAATCTCGAGTTTGAAGGTTAATTACCATCTTGATGGATTTAAAAAATCACAAAATCTAGAAAGAGAATTAGATTATTAATAATCTGATTCAACCCTTGTTCAACATCCATTTTTTAAGAAGAATTTGATTTGGAATAGTGATTGATGGAAGAATGTGTGATTAAAAAGTAGGGAATTTTTGAGTTTATGTGTAATATTATTTTATTCATAAAATGTATGGTTGAAATGAAGAATGAGAAAAAAAATAAGAATGAGAATGAAAAAAAAATGGATGTCAAACAAGGGCTTAATGTTTTCATTCTCATGCTCTAAATGAAAGTCTTTAGCCTTGAAATTAAGTCAAAGGTATAACACACAGTCACAATTTCCAAAAGAGACATGTTTTAGCTCACATTGAGATAGACTTAAAGCCATAAAATAGTCGCGTATTTATGAATGGTTGAAACAGACACACAACATTACAAGTCACAATCACAAAAAGTAGTATATCATGGTCACATAATGTATTGCAACTGTTTTAGATGATAATCAAACAATCAAACACGTCATAGTTACACAATGTAACGACAATTCTTACACGAAATGACAACTTTCCTAGGACACTTCTTAGATCACATCTTAAATTGTACATGATTACTTAAAACTATAGATTATCGAAGTTTTGTGGCTGGACATCACGGGCACACAACGTATTAGATCACACTCAAAATTTGCTCACAAAATGATGAGAAAAAATTGTGGTCAATGCCTGTACCTAGAATAATTATTTACAAAAGATTGTTTACTTTTGTACTTCATCAACAGATGTAAAAACAATGTAAAAATAGTGGCTAATTATTCTGGAGAAACTATGGACAAGGAAACATTATTCTGGAGAAATCATGTTGAAAATTTGAGACAAATTTCTTCATCCATTTTGATTAATCACGCCATGGAAGTTCGGGATTTTATTTTTTGTTTTAGGATTTGTTAGAATGTTAGGAAGCAAGATATCTAATTTCCTTTTTTTTTTTAGAACGTGATAAGAAGAGAGATACCAATCATCAATTTATCTTTTACTAATCCTCAATTTAAGTCACACTATTATCTTATTTAATTCATATATTTATAGTTTTAGAAAAGATAATATTAATGAATAATGCTACTTGTACATAATGGTTTACATACAAATGAGATGTCAAAAAGAAAGTGGATAAGTTTTTTTATTTGATTGAAGAAATTCCAACGCAATCATATCTCACAACATCATATGTATAAAAGTTATTATGTACATGTAGCATAAACGAATATTAATTTATGACTTGATTTTGGAAAGAATTCTACAAGTTTGATATTTTTGGAATTGTATTCTTAAAGTATGGTAGTTATGATTTTTTCCCTTAAATATTTAAAAGAAATATTCCGGGATCTATTTTATTAAGGAATTTTTACAATTATTTAACTAGGTAGTTCACAATATAGTAAGTATTAATTATATTCAATTTTCTTTATATTTTTAAAAAATTGCACATAAAATAAATTTTACGTATATAATTTTAACTTAGCCTACATTTAATTGTTTTTGGTCCCCAGCAAAAAAAGTGAAAGTTTTATTTCGTAACTATTATGATTATTTTAACCTGAAAAAGAGCCAGCCTCACGAACCAATACATGGCCTCAATCAACAGGCAAAGTCAAGCCATTTTCTGTCCCTTATTCAACTATAGACAATATTACCTCATTTGTAAGGGCGGCCCACATGAAGACACGCAAGCGGAATTGCGGGAGCCCATAAGCACCAGCTGCCATAATTCCCATTCTTGCTTGATAATCCAAGCCAACGAGTCGACCAAGAGCATATCTTCCAAGGAAGCCACCAGAAAACTTAACAATGTCAACCACATTTTCCATCAGCACAAACCTTGGCTTCAAGAAGGCTACTATATCCATGAATACAATAAGCTGTTTGTTCTTCTCATCCTTTAAAGGGTTTTCACGATTCCTGAAGCGGTTGAATCCACTAACCCCTTGGCATGGAGGACCTCCACATATAACATCAACTGTCTCCTGCTAGGCATAACATACAAAACTGTCAAGTCAAAGTAAACATAATTGATAATTGAATTATAAATGTTGATGTACACAACAAAAGCTTACCGGCAAAGGCAAGATCTTTGATTTGTAGCCCCTTGAGACAAATTCCTTTAGCTTCTCTTCGCACCCGCTAGTAGGTTGGCATTTAGCGTTAGCATACTCAATAATAAGATCGGCTCACTTACACAATTTTTATTTCCTAACCTCAAACCATCTAATGGCTCCCATGTGTCTTCATCAGATCCATATCCTTTCCATCGAATCTGGACAAAATTGAAAAGGTATGGCAAAATAAGAACAATAGAAAAGTTGCATCTTTGCCAGTGATGATATAATTTAAGATTGGATCTTAAAAAATAGCACTTGATTATGTGAGAAAAAAAAATTCTATTTATATCACTACATGAAGGCATCTTCAGAATCAGATACAATAATGCACCAAAGTCCAAAAAGAGGATTCGTGTAACTTACTCCAAATTTATTTTCTAATGAGAGTTTAGTAGTTGGATCCGTACATGAAAAGGTTTACCACATAAGCATATTATTTCGCTCAAGTCAAAATTTAAATAAATAAATAAATACCTACGCTCTCCTTGAACTATAATCACTCAAGTCAAAATTTAAACAAATAAATATGTTCCCTCAACATGTGCTTAAACTTCTAGATAAGGAGGGGTTTGACTTGATGACAGATCTTGAGTTCTAATTGTTAGATATTTTTCATCATTTTGCATGTGTCATCTTTTGTTTTGTGAATGTTTTGCCGCCCAGATTAGTGTATGCCGCTACGCAATGGAAATCGACCTGACCGGGTCGCAGGGGTCGAGGGGGCAGCCCCCCCCTTGGGGGCTCTAGGGTAACACCCCCGAAAGAGAATTTTATTTTTTAGAAGTCTTTGAATAGATATGTTTCTTCCAACAGATGTGTTCATTCATTTTACGAGACACACCTATTCAAAAGGTTGTCTCCATTTCTATATATTTTGGGCGAATTCTCATTTGCAAAACACATTAAAAAAATTCGTTATTTTCTATTCTTCTCTCTTTTCTCTTGGCATCATCAGTTTATTTATAGAGTGTNGGATATGGGAGAAACATCTCTTAAAAGATAACGATTTTCGTGCCTTGGAGTTCATTAGTTTTTTCCAGATTTTCTTACATATTTCCCAACACTAATCTTGTTGCCACTCCTTTTTAAAGTTATGCACTTGTCAAACCTTTAATTAAAAAGGAAATTGGTTTGCACATGAGAATCCATGTTGAATATGATATTTAAATAAATAAATTTGCCTCCTCTCTAACATGCTAGTCTTTTTCTAGTTAGTCAACCAAATTCTTAATGAATATTTTCTCTTGTTTAAAGTTTTCCCAAATTTTGATGAGGTACCTTGAAGTGCAATGCAGGCTTTTTAATTTCGTTTGGATCGCCATAACAGATTGTCAAAATTTCTTCTACTTCATAGATTTCACCATCATCTCCATCATTCCCATCTTCTTTAGTATCACTGTCAACTTCATCCTCTTTTTGTGTTGAGCCTTTGCTTTCAGTAGTCGATAAATAGGAGGTACAAAGTTTATCCCATTCCTTTAGCAGGCATAAGAAATCCTCCGCAGATTCATTTCTCACCTGAATTAGCAAGTTATGCATCCCCAAATGCAATTACTGAACAAGACAACATAACAGAAGGAATATTGTCTGTAATGAGATGTACCTCTGTCTCTGGATGATTTAGCTTCAGGCTTTCACACGCAAATTTGTTAATATCAACAGCCCATTTCTACGTTCATAATGAAAAAAGATGTTAAAATGTAAAGGAAATATCCTTTTGAATATCAAAGAGAGATCACATCAAAGAGACAAGAAAATTTAAAAAGAGGAGAAAAGATGCTAAAAAACGTACAGTGACGAGCTTCACACCACAGCTATTGGCACCAAGGCAAAGCCCGGTAGACATAGCACCACAACCAGCATACAAGTCCAGAAGTGTTCTCTCACTGCTAGACTTTTCTACTTCAGAACTATCACAACAATTTGCTGTTCCAGCAACATCAGCGTCACTGGAAATGGTGGAACCAGATTCACAAGTAGCCGCAGCACTGTCTGAAGAACAAGAATTACAGCGTAAAAAATAATTGCAACCAAAATCTTAAGAGAAATTGCACAAAAATAATGAAACTAGGGAATTATTCTACTTGGAAAAACATACCAGGTCCTAATCCTACAAAAGAACAATACGGCAGCAAGTACATCTGATCATAGTAATAGTCACACTTCAATCTAACCCTTTCCTTGATATCCAATTTCCCCTGAAAATCAGTAAGATGTGTTATATTTGTAAATAAAGACTAAAAATTGTCGGTAGCAGTTATGATAAGCATACTTTTAATGGTAGAAGAACAATTTCAAGTTTTTTCACAAGGCAATCAAGAGGATTATCATCCTTGATTTCAGAAAAGAATACGCGTTTGTCATCAATAAGGTTATGACAACATCCTATGACCTGACAAAAGGAACAAAGAACTGAATGTCAGATCAGCAGTGAATAACAAAAGTCACAGACAAGCTTCTACAGATTTTCTACAATATCTTACCGTATCCTTTGCCCTGTAATACCATTGAGCAGTAAAATTAGGTGAGCCATCAACTGCTTCAAAAATCTCGACGATCTTACAAATGAAATTATCTTGCCCATCCTCAGCCTAAAAAACAGATGGTTGGTTAGGCCCAGGTTAACAGGTTGTATGTTATATCTATTTGACAAAAGTTATTATACAATTCTCAAGATATTGTCAACCACTTTCAGAAGACTTAGTTTTTATGGTACAATATTGTCAACCCAAGATATGCTAGTTTATAATTCAAAAGAGAATACAGAAGTGAAGATAAAACAAGTATTCAACAAAAATAAATAAATCCATGCTACGGTGATTAAAAGCATTGACCATTACTTATTTTATTGTTGTACACTCACAGTAAAGTGAGTATGCATCCATGAGATTCATAGGTAATCAAATTATTGTGAAACACTTATAGGGAAAATGGCTTAATTTGTTCATAGTCGATCATTGCTCAAACCAAAACCTAAAAGAAATAGAACATACTGATTGGAAAGAAAGATCTTCAATTGAATCAGGATATCTCTTCTGGTTTGTTCAACAAAGAAGCAGATAACCTGCAGTTCTTTATTTCAGTAAGATTTTCAAACCTTTGTGAGAATACACAAATATGATGCACCGACAAGGACACGTGCGTCTGACACGATACGTGTCGGATACGCTGACACGCAATTTTTAAAAAACATACAGACAAGACACGTTATCGATACGTTAATTAAAATCTTAAAAATCCTTCATTTATATAGTACAAATTTAGTTTGATACTTGTTATTAATTTTTATTGTTGAAATCTTTTAAATATGAGTACATATTTGTTACTTGCTAATAACTTTGAATTAACAATATATAATATTTCTAATATAAAAAGAAAAATGATTACGGTAGAGTGTCCGAGAAGTGTCGATATCGACTCGTGTTCGACATGTGTCGGATACAGACACGCTACCCTAATTGAAATGTCCATGCTACAGAGATACACAATAATTGCTTGTGTATCTCTCAAAAAAAAA